TAGTCTCGCAAATGGTGCCATTTCCGTAAACGGTGACTACGCCCGTATCCGCCATGGGAGATGGAGAAGGAGGTACTTGAAATTTGCGGGGACAGAGGGAGGCGATAGAGAGAGATGTGAAGAATGGAACTGCTATCTTTTTTCTTTTCTTTTCCCTTTATATTTCATCTCATCTCACATCACCACAAAATTGGGTTCTCTTCTCTTCTAGCCTTTTTTTTCCTTAAATTAAAAAATAATGCTTCCCATAATAATTTAAAAAATATGGTGTATTTTCGGTAAATACTTATTCGTCATTCCACAACGACACAAAAATTAAACTAAAAATATCGTGGATTGTGGATTTTATAATATATGTTTATTTTTCTCATCATTAGAATCATTTCAAGYGTTGAGACATTTATTATTAGTACTTTTACATCACATATTTAAATATTGGTCTCTATTAATAATGATATGATTAAATAAAATTTAAAACTGTAACCTAAATAGACGGTTGTTACATGAGATAAGTGGAGGTGGACAGTTAGAACACCCACGAATATTAGAATGAACCATAAAAATAAAAATCATACCCAACTTAATACATATATATGTGTAAATAAATAAAGCTTAAACTTCTCAGTTCCTAATCCATTTTATTTGTCCCTCCACCGCTAGGTAGTAATTTAGTATGAGATAATAATTGGATATTTATACATTAGAAAAAGTATAATTCTTAAAATTCATTTATGCCAGGTAAAAAAACTATACTCAAGTTAAAATTTCAACTCAAATTTTTTGAATTCATAATATAGGTTAAAATTATTTTTTAAAATTAATAATAATGCATGGAGTTGGAGCTAATAATATATTTTTATTTTGTTGTAATTTTTTCAGATATATCAATCTACCACATCTCACATTTCAATAAAATTGACCGCTCAACATTTCCATATAAATCTAAAATAGCGATGTTTAGCTATTCCAATAACAAATATATAAATATTTATTTGAATAAATCCTTCCCAACAAATTATCGTGACAAAATGGAAAAGTTCCAACCAATGGGAGCACAGAGTAGACACGTGTCAACTTGCAATTGGATAATTTTAGTAACTACACGTTCCAGTGCGGGCAGAGAACTTGGGTATAAAAGGCAGAGGCATCTCATTTCTCACAGTTGATTCCTCGAAGCGGGCAAGTATTCGGAGGGACTGCGTCTTCGACTGAGACTTTCCGGCGAGATGGCGAAAACGGCGTCATTCATTTTATCTATCTTCCTCCTCTTAGGAAGCCTAACTCTCATCCAGGTGATTATTCGCAATTTCTCTGTCTAATTGGATCGCCAATTTGGCGCTAGGTTTATATACACGATGAAGAAGTGCTTCTGTCTCTGTGATCCGTAGCGCTTTCGTTCTAGATCTGTAATTATATCAGTCGGTGATCGAGAATGAGGTTTTAGGTCTTGATGTTTTGTTTTGGTTCGTTTGCATCAGAAATATTATTAGGTTTACAAGGTGATGGCAAAAAAGTTATTTGTGAATTGTTTTTTGTTATAGGCGAAGGCGAAGAAGAATCTGAAAGAAGTGACTCACAAAGTTTACTTCGATATTGAAATTGACGGCAAGCCTGCTGGTATGGTCGATTTTGTTCTCTAGTTTAAATTTGTGCTAAACTAGATCGAGAATAGAGTGCAGCAGTTAAGTAGTGTATCGCATGCTTGATTTCCGTTGTCATGCTTTCTCGATGAAGTGTTTTCTTAGTTAAACATCGTTTAACCTCACTCGTCTAACTAATTTATGTTTACATGCTTGATTTTCCTTCTCGCGCTTTCTCGATTAAAATGTCTTAGTTGAACTTGGTTTGATCTCAATCATTTTGTTCGTCAGCATAAAAAGAGTGCTGTGGCCTGTGTGGAGGCACAATGCAACGCCGTACTCGATTTCAAAGTTTAATGAACCAATGAGTAGTATTTAGACATTGTTTCAGTAAAAATATAATGTTCATTGTTTTGTCGGTGACTGGCTGTACTTGATATATCAGATGTTGCTATTATAGAATGAGTGTTACTTGAATGATGTTTTTCGCATCATGAATGATATAAAGGAAAGTCTAATGCCCATTTCTGCTCGCAAGGCAATTATGAACGGAGACTACAAACTTGATTTGAATAAAACATATATTGTTTCGATTCTTTATTTAGAGTATGATTAATGTTAAAATTCCGATGATAAATGTCTTACAGGTCGTATTGAGATGGGTCTTTTTGGGAAGGCTGTTCCTAAAACCGTGGGTATGTTGTTTATTTGTAGTAAGAACTATTAATTATGTTGGATTATGAACACCGCATGCTATTTTATTGTATCACTCACTAACTAGTTACTGACTCTTTCTCGTGTGGTTATGCAGAAAACTTCCGGGCATTATGCACTGGTAAGCAGATAACTTCGAATTAAATCATATTCTCGAGTGTTTGCATCTTCACATTTGAGGTTTAACTGTCTTACTAAACATAGGATTCTTTGAATCAAAATGGGGCAGGCCTTCTTAAAATCCTATTTAAACCGAATAGCCGATGCCAAAAGAACGTGTGGATTAAAACATATAATGCCCTCGTCTAACTTCATTCCTCCTCGAGAGGAAATAAGAACAAAAAAGGAAAATGAATAATTGAAAAGTAGAGGAGAAAGTGCTTACGGTTTCAAGAAGAATGATTGATTGACTTTCTTTATTGCATGCAATAGTGTTACGCTTGAACTTTTTCTAATATTTAGATTCCAAATTTCAGGTGAGAAGGGTGTTGGTCAGAGCGGAAAATCTCTACACTACAAGGGTAGTGCGTTCCACAGGATTATTCCCAGCTTCATGATCCAAGGAGGTGACTTTACCCATGGCGATGGAAGAGGTGGAGAATCAATCTATGGAGAGAAGTTCGCTGACGAGAATTTTAAGCTGAAGCATACTGGTCCAGGTAAAATTTTAAATCTCTACCCTATCGTATTCAAATGACCTTCTTAAACATGATAGGAAATTCAAACTTAAAATTATGACCTTAAGCATACTGGTCACGGTGCATAAAATTATGCAGGGCTTCTGTCTATGGCAAACGCTGGACCAGACACAAATGGCTCACAATTTTTCATCACTACAGTGACAACTAGCTGGTAAACATCCATACCACAACTTCTTGCTTGATTATTACAAAAGTTGATGAGTTTTGAGTAAGCATTTTATGCTGCATGAATATAATTCCTACACAGGTTGGATGGTAGACACGTTGTGTTCGGAAAGGTACTGTCTGGAATGGACGTGGTGTATAAAGTCGAAGCCGAGGGAAGGCAGGACGGAACTCCCAAGAGCAAAGTTGTGATTGCAGACAGCGGTGAGCTCCCTCTATGATATTGATTGACAAGTAGTTTCTTTCCTATGTGAGCAGTATCGTAATGTGCACACTGTCCAGTCCACTCCAGTTTGCTTTTTTTCTTTCTTTTTTTTGTACTGTTTACGGTAGAGTTGGCGCACAACTGACGGATCCCTTAATCTATGGCGGTGGTTTTCCCTCTCTTTAATAACGTTCGATGCTCCGAGTTTACTGTTTTTGTTTTTGGTTTTTTTATAGTCAATCTCCATAGCCATCATATGGTAAATAGATGAAAAAATTTTCAGTATTACATGAGTACCATATTCTTTTGATTTTGTCTTTTTAATTTGTTGGTAAATTCCACGTTACTTTTAATACGWTACATCGAAAGTAATATTTGTAGTACAGGAGATTTTTTAAGGATGAGTTTTTGTGCAGTTTATACTGAATAAAATGGTCCAACATACTGTTGTGTCGAATGAGGTAACTTTGCCCCGCATGGGGTAAAGATTCTTTGATTGCGGTCGGAAATGGAGAATAATTTTATTTTATATATTAATAATGATTTAAAATATATAAATAAACAAGCTATTCAACTTTTAAAAATGTATTGTAAATGTTTGTTTATAAGAAAATGAAGAGAGTAAGAAATAAACAAGCAAAAAAAAAGGAGGCTTTACGTAATCTAAGATGGATGTGTTTTCAAATAGAAAATTTAAAATTCTACAATAATAACATAATCTAAATCAAACTTAAATAATAACATTTTAATATTTTAAAATTTTAACGGCCATAGTYATAAACTTATAGAAGTGTAAAACAGGACGAAAATCACACATCTCACTCAACTTAAAAAAGAAAAAAAAAAGAAACCATAGAGAAATTGGTCTTAGAAGGAAAAACCTAATCCAACCTTCTTTCAGTTGTCCTTACTTCACATGTTATACAATGCAATTCAAGAAGGTAAGATTATAGCAAACAGAACACATAAATACCTCATTACGCCTGTGAGCAGATGAACAAGGAAGCAATCTCGCAGCCTAAAATCCTTACAAAACAAACACCATAATTAAACCAACTACTCGACTGATACTGACATTAACAATCTTCATCGTAAGAGTTCCATACGCACACAGTAATGAAAACCACGAAACAACAGATTGTTAATCACCATGCAGGCTGCATCAACAGAGAGAAATATAAGGTAAAATAGAATTAATTACTGAGAAACGTCGCCTTAGTTTCAGCTATTTGCGTTCCCTGCCTTGTCAATTCCTCCAGCGTCACGACTACGACTGTGTTGGATTGCGTAGCAGAAATTGGACGACAAATTGGAGTAAATCGAGATGACGCGAGAGATATTACCATTAATCTCACGGATCAAYGAAACGTTCTTGACCAGATCATCGACTGGTGATTCTGGTTCACCTGTTGGATTAAGGAACGATTATGATCCAATACGGTTTGTACCTGACGGAAGGTGTTGCTAAGCATATTCTAGACCTCCATATCACATTTCTCGACTTCTTTTTCTCGTTCGCGATCTTGCTCAWCTGACTTCGGCCGTTTGTTCTTCATGGAGCCGAAGCTCTTGGAAGTTTCTCCTGTCTATCGATTGAAGCGGAGACCATGATTCATTGCTCGAACTCCATTCGCGTTCTCTCGGCGATTCTTCGAAATGAAATATGTTGTGAGCTGAAAGTGGGGACCTGTTTCTGTTTCTGTTCGTTAATCATAAAATAATATGAAAATAAATATCTTGAAATCTATCACACGTGCAACGCACGTGGTTCACATTTGCTGCTTAGCAAAATCTTTGTTACTCAGTATTTTCCGATTAGTAATAATTTTGTTCATACCTTTATACTTCAAAATTTATAACAATTTAATTCTTGATTTTTATTACAAAAGTTAGTCTCGGTAACTTCAAAATTTAAGAACTAAAATGTTACAAACTAAAGTTTGATAAGTAAATCTTTACTTCAATGAAAATATAGGAAAACCCCTTAATAATTATGCCTCAAGTGAATTTTCAATTTATCAAATGAGTTATGGAAATCTTATGATATATCAAGTAGGTTTTGATTTGAGTAGAATATAGTGAATTTTGAAATAAAGACTTGGGAGCTGAGATAGATGTTTAATATTTTGAAAAAGCATTGAAAATACACATTTTCCCATATTTTTCATACAAGTTAAGTCAAAGTTAAGTTGGGTTGATATCTTATATTACTCATAATCACTAGTTCATTACCATAGTTCAAATTAAAAACAAGTAAGGAGAAAGACACCAACCTGAGTTTAACTTAACAGTTAAGGCATGTGTATCACAGTCTAAAAGGTGTTGGTTCAATGATTGATATAAAGAAAGAGAATCAGAAATAAGAAGCGAGAGAGACCACGTTCAACAAATGAAAAACATAAATCATTCAATCAGGCAAAACCCACTTAGTTTAAATGGTACAAATCCAGCCCTCCAAAAGGAAAGAATATCATAAATCATGAGATTACAAGGTTTTCTAGTGAAGGTTAAGTCAAATGCTCTAGGTACAACTAAGAGTATAAATTAGTTTCGAATCAGGGTCCTAAATTTAAGTTGTTCCCCTAACTGTGCAACTAGAATAATCTTTTCCCTATGTTTACAAATTACAATGAACTTCAATGTCTTGGCACCTTGCCCTTAATTGGTACGCCAAGGGCCAAGGAAGTGTTAAACAGTATAAATGCATCAAATGTTTGGACATTTTARTGACTTGATCTTACTCGGTGTCGCTGTTAGAATCCAGAAAGTTAAACTCTCTGTAACCACTAAGCTTGATCAGTATGGTTCCCCGATTCTCTTCGTTCCATTTGATACCCTCGTTTTCTAGAAGTTTGATGACCTGCACGATGGAAATGTTGTGTTATATGATCTCTATAAGTTTATTGTTCCCTTCAATAGGTAACTGTCCAGAAGGATTCTGAAAGATGTCTGCTTTGTTTCCAAAGAGCCACCACACGAAATGAAGACAAGAGACTCGAGTATTACTCATACCGAAGTTTTCAGTTTTGATTTTCCCACACCATGTGATCCACATCCGGTGATAACCCTGAGAGACTGAATTGCTAAAATAGAAGAAAGGAAAAACTTGAATAAGTAGTGAAATTAGCACCTTTAATACTTTACGTTCTTTTTGTGATCGAAAATATGTGTGGTTGGACTATACTAATTTTGTGGGTATTTATTGTTTTGATCATATCAGATGATTTTTAGCTAGGTTTCGACATCTTGTTGAAAGTTCAGATGTTTTTTACCTACTTGATTCTATAACTAAGTTCATATATTTTTCCTAGTTGCTTGATTTCAAGTATTTTATTGGTTGGGTTTGGATGACTCGATTTCAAGTGTTTTATTGGTTGGGCCGTAGGCAATTGATGAGGGGTATTCATTTCACCCGTCGCCATTTATCAAAGTTTAGATTTCAATTAGATGGATTTGAACATTTAAGGTTAAAATTGAGCAGGCAAGTTAGTATTGGGCAGAAAGGGTTTTTTTTTTTAAAGCAGTAATAATAATATAATGAGCCAAACAGTGAAAAGAAAATTTATCGTCAATCAGGAAAGAGTACATAAAAACATAGACATCGGAAGGTAGATGCTTACAGGGCACATAAGATCCAAATAGGAGGTGCATTTTGAGAAGCCGCATTGCCTGTTTGACATGTTGCCCATGCAAATCAATTGTTATCACATTCTCTATGTCCCTATTTCTGCAACAATCACAACAACTAAATCCCCMYWWGAAAAAAAAAAAAAAAACCTTAGTGAAATATTCACCGCTTTTAAGCAAATATGATTACCTGGCTATAAATATATTATGGCTTGCTTTATCATCAGCCTTCTGGGCCTGTCTATTTTGCGCTCTCCCCTGCACAATCAATAGGTCAAGCTGAGTGTTGCTGTTTATAATGAAATTTTTAATGTGCCAAAAAATGCCAGGAAGAGAACAAACATCAGGCAAATTTGTAAAATTTTAGTAAAGAGGAGTGGCCCTCATCAGAACAAATTTTACTCGAGGTCTTGAGGTGAGGCTAAAGTGGCCCCTCATCTCGAGGCGGTTAGGGGAGTGCAGTTATATAGCAGATAAGAATATCCAAAGACAAAAAGGAAATGAAAGCACATCAGGATTTAGGAAGCATAGAAGTTTACAGTAAAAACGTTGTAAAAACAGAGAGATTCTAGGCTACATGCCTACGAGAATTACTGTTCTTGACCATGTTAGATTTTTACTCACCGTTACCAGGAACGATATAAAAGTTTCTGAAATATCCTATAATGTTTTGAAAAATTCATAAAATAAATATAATATCAGGACATATTAGAACAAATTCAACAAAGAGAAACTGCATAAGAAAGCCAGAAATATGAACCACGCATAACCCAGGGAATCACACACATCTCCTCTAATGCAGAACAAACCTGCTCCGAAAGGTARGATGCATAGTTGCGTTCTCCTTTTGCATATGCTGCTGTTGCCTGAAGAAAAATGCTTCCATATATAAACGCTCAAATCTGTTCATATATAAAAAACATGTAAGGTGCTAAAAGTATCTTACTTTGTGGTAATAGGATTTCATTGAATCCCAATGCTGATTTGCATTTTTCCTATACAACTGATAGTCATCTTTAGCTGTAACATTGAATGCACTTAGCAGTTAAAGTTATGAGTACGGACAGGGTGGAGAGAGTTTATGAAGCAAAATAGTACCAAAACAAAATCACATAAAGAGAAGTATCAAAATTTACCTTTACTATTATCATAAGTATCCTGAACACAACTAGAGGCATAAACATCAATGGCAGGTCCCAGAGATTGCATTTTCTCCACCATACTCCTCCAATTCATGGTGCTTGGTTCATATTCATGACTTCTTGAAACATTGAATAAAGTCTCTAACAATGTTTGAGGGAGATCGGATTCAATACTTCTAGAGGATTGTGGTGCTTGGCCTTTGGAACCAGCAAGAAACTTCGCATCGTTCCTACCTTTTCTGGTTTTGGAGGGGGGGAGGTGGTCAAATAAACTTTTACATAATCAGATACGCATCAGAAGAAAATTTCATCATGCTAGGGCTCTAAGTTGTATGAAGGCGATACATGTATTCACCTTATCCACAAACTACTCAAGAACAAAGATATAGTGTTAATCAAATTCATTAATATAGAAAAACATCGAAGGCTGTAAAAGACAYGAACAAACTCCCAAACAGAATATGGTAGCTTGATAAAAGATCAACTCGACCAACTTCAAAAAAATTCTTGCAACGTAAACCTTWCATGGAAGAAGAGAGTATCARATGGCTGCTAGCTTTGCAGTGAACAAGGAAATGGAAGGGAACACAGGAATGGCAACCCAAAAATTATACAAGTGATTAAAAAGCATGTTGATTTGTCTGAGACGTCATGAATTCAAAATACACAGCAACCTCCAATGATATTACCTCATGAGCTTCTCAACTACCGAAAACAAAAGAAAGATCATTCCAATGTCTGATTTTGAGCTCCACAGAAAGGTAGGGATTTTTAGTTATCAAGACATAATTATCGAAGAAGAGGCAACAAATTTGAACTTAATAAGTTTAGTTGAATATAGTCTTAACTACTTAACCCACGAATCTCATATTGGCAGGCTCTGCTAAAGGTGAGAGAAGGCTTTGAAAGAAATGAGGAGTTGAAGAACTAGATGATAATGGAATCAAGTGGTACTAATAAAATCTGAAAATGATTATAATATAATAGACAGCTCAGCTTGAACCCAAAGGTATTTACCACTATGCTCAACCCCCGAGGTTAAATGCAGAAACAATAATAAAAAACCAAGTTACCTACAAGCAGCAGCAAACGACCATATACTCTCTTGAAACTCACTTTCAGAAGAATAGGAGGTAGAATCAGATGCACGATCTATCAACTGTGAACAAAATCCAACGATTCCATATTTTACAAAGAGGAATTAAATTATATAACACATGGTAACATATTTGCCTAGATAATTGAATGCAGAAGGTTTCTCAGAAGGGAAAAATCTTCCTCACATTTTCCATCTGCTCAACTGGAGATCCAAAATCTTGTTTAAAGTTACCACCATTGCATGAGTACCTACCAGTTCCAGACTGTTCACTGGAAGCAGCAGTTAAATCAAGCAATACATTCAAAGCCTGAAAAGTTTGGTAAAAATTAAAACCTAACAGTAGACATACAAAACATAGTAGGTAGCTCGAAAAATTGAYATACCAGCATGTATAAAATAAAATATTCACGTAGCATATATAACCCAAATAACTTTTCACTCAGTAGAAAGCTCAAAATAATACTATGAACTATCAAGTATCAACTATAGGGTACACATCTGTTACAAAGCAAATAATCTTTCGTAAAGATATATGTGCGACTTGGAGACTTAATACCCTTCAGACTTCACCTTGATACTACAAACTATTGGTCCCTAACCTTTGTATCAGTTTCACCTTGAGCCCAAAAAGTTATTTTTTTCATCTGGGAACTTTTATATTTGTCAATTTAAACCAAATACACCATTTAGTTCAAGTCAATGCTTTGCATCAATAGTTGTTACAGAGGTAGAGAAAAGACAATTCCCATTATGGTTCATTTCCAGGCTGGCAGCAGTAGAGTTAGCAAAACGTGTCCATAAAATATAAAGYGGTAGCATGTGATTCGTCAAAGGACAAAATTACTACAAATGAATAGAGGTACACATAAATAAATAGTTAGCAATTACAAATATCTCAAGATCCTAGAAAAAAAGAGGACCCTCGAGACAGTTGCCAAGAGACATAAGACTACAAATGAGTAGTGACAATGAATTGAAGGAAAGAATGTTACAAGGGCAATGCTTATGGGCTGTCGAAGAAATCAAATTCTATGACAATAATTCAAGTGGTAAAGGATATATGAGGAAGAGATAGCGAGATGGTTACTGACATAATCTGATATACTTGTCGTGTGTGTGTGCGCGCGTG